AGGCTATAATCAATATGCCTCCCTCTCTATTGTGAACCTTAAGCATGAGGCATAAGCAGCATTAATGATTACACATAATGCTAAGGCATGGTGGGTAATTGCCTGACCCAAGTGGCATAGTTAATGCAGCTTAACTATTGGCACTCTAATGCAGAGTATTCAGTTGCTCATGGCAAATACGGCCCACCCTGAATTGGACCCCTTAGTTGGTTCAGCTGGTAAGAGTTAGATTTTGGCGGCACTTGTTTAGGTGCCAGGCATCATTGCTGCATTGCTGCCAGGGTGGGCCAGGTTGGCTTCATGATCTGGCCGTACTAGCTTCACAGCGTTGAACTAGTACGTAAGTGGCCGTACTAGCTTCACAGCGTTGAACTAGTACGTAAGCCTTGGGTTCAGTTTGACCACCATTTACAACCAGGCAAAGCAAGCTTAGGGGGTGTGGCCCATACAATGTTACCAACCCTTCCCTCTTTTCCCCCTTTTGGGGGGATTTGCAGGGTTTATTGTATTTGTTGTATATATTTTGTGCGTGCATCTCAGGACGAATAGGATATTAAGTTTACCATAAGCTGAGTATCCAATGCTGGAACAGACAACACTAGCTAGATTATTATCAATGACAGTATTACCATATCCACACACCATAACCCATGAACCATTGACACAGACTCTTATATTACCATGACGACTAGAAGGGCCACCATATAGCTCTATTTTATTGTTAACACAAAGACCTACAAAAATGGTACAAAATCATATCAAATTCTTTTTCGGGTGTTCTCACTTTCACATCTGATGCTTAATTCTTGATAATTGTTACACCCATACCACCACCAACCATAATAGTGTGGATACTTTCTTTGGTAACAGTTACTTAGATTTGATTGAAAAGCACCACAAGACAGTTCATAAATCAAAATTGGATTATTACTAACACCAAAGTTTGAACTCGGAAGTACTATACCACCTGTACACAACACAAGCTATATACATGTCTATAATATAAATAAATTTACCTTGATATCCTAATTCTTGGCAAAAAGTGTAAGCATTCCTAACATTAGATGAAGACCTAGTACAAACCGAGCCCCAAACTCCATTCTCACACACTTCAACTCTTCCTTCATACACTGTAGCACCATCAGCCAATCTCACTTCACCAGTAGTACAAGTAGAATTCTCGACACCAATCACTAAGAGATGAGTATTAATAAACTCATCAAGAATTATACTGTCTTACATTGACAAAGAACAGCAGCATCATCATAATGATAACAAGAATAATCATTAAGTCCATTCATAGGACAGTCCCAAAGTGAAGACTCTGCCCCAGTACAGTTAAGATCATTAATGTGAATATACCATGTTCCTTCAGTATATGAGTCTCTTAAGGCAGAAGCACCTAGTACAAACGAAAGAAAGTATAGCCTACATAGAAGCAAAATTTAGCAATTTGTTACCATAGGGAGAGTATCCAAGCATTCTACACACTACACTTGCATCTTTTTTATCCCAAAAGTGATCACAAATTGTTCCCCAGGCATTATTCACACACACTTGAACTCGTCCATATCTCCTGAAATAGCTACCTGAATCACTGTATAGACGAACAGTACCATTGGCACAAGGAGCTACAATGATACATTTAGAAATGAAGAGTCTGGCAACAAGTACCTTCACATTTGACTCCAACATCATAAGTATGTGAACAGTATGATGGTATTATTGGAGAATAGGAACAGTTAATTAGATGTGACTCCTGTCCACTACATTGAATTGAAGATATCAGTATAGGGCCTGAGCCTTGCCCAAATACACTAGCTCTAGTGTATGCAACTGATCCTAAAATTGTGTAATAAACGACAGTGTTACTTTTTGCAAGTACTTTACCTAGCTCCATGTGTCCTGCCTGCCTACACACAACATTACTGTCAAGTGTATGCCAAGAATTCCACCACGACCAATTCCAACGATTGTCTCTTCTACTACATACAGTTCCCCATACTCTATTGATGCATATTTCTACACGTCCTTCATACTGTGTGTTACCATTAACCAGTCTCACTTCACCTTCAGTACAGTCTGCTTTAAGTGTACCAATATCTAAATAAAATTTAAATAATGTTTGAATCCACAAAACACTAATTTTACTTTGACATGATATAATTGCGAAATTACTATTAGGGCAGTTGTATCCAGTTAGCCCATTAGAAGGACATGAAAATAAGTTGTTTTCATTTCCAGTACAATTCACATCAGTGATATGATGAGGCCAGATATTGTTTGTAATTGAACCTGAGCCAGGTGCACCAATAGCTCCTGAATAACATTATTAATGTAATATCAATGCTATTAATAATATTGTTAATATAATACTAACATTATTCATTAGGTATGAATTTTATTATTCATTATTTGAAAAACAAGGAAGTGTTACGGATAACAAGAAAAACATACCATAAGGTGAATAACCAAGTTGTTTACACACAACACTAGCATCATCATTATCCCAGTAATCACTGCAGATAGTACCCCATGCTTTATCAACACATACTTCAACTCGACCATTAGAACTTGATGTACCACCACCAAGACGAATACTGCCACTCTCACATTTAGCTAAATATAAAAAAAAATTTTATACACAGTATGTATCAAATTTGACAACTAACGTTCACATCTCAGTCCTACATCATAAGAGTGGCTGGTACATGTTCCAGAAGCAACTGATGGTTCATTTCTACGGCAATCAAAGAGTGTGTCCTCATTTCCATTACAATACATGTAACCAAAAACAACTGGTCCACTTCCTTGACCATACAATCCATACCCACTTACTGAACCTGAACAAATGTACATCAGTATAATTATAATATTTGCATCATCAATTGCTGTAATGGTTGTGTCAATATACCTAATTCTTGGTGTCCTAGTTGTCTGCAAGCAACTCTGCTATCAGTAGAACCCCATGAAACACCACAGACCGTACCCCATACTCTGTTCACACATACTTCCAATCTCCCTTCATTACTAGTAGTTCCACCAATCAGTCTAATGTCTCCAGTCTCACAGTTAACCGGCTGAATAGTACCACCTAATATAATGTAAAATTCATCAAGATATTTAAGTACTATTTACTTTGACAGATAACTCCAGCATCCTCATAACCAGTGCAAGTATTAGAGTCAATGACTTCATTATGAGAACAGTTCCATATATTAGACTCAAGACCAGTGCAATTTGGATCAAGAATACCATAAGACCAGTCATAGTCAGTGAAATAACTTGTCAATGGTATAGCACCTTTATAACGGAATGAAGAATAATACATATATAGTTTGAATTACCATAGGGTGAATATCCCAACTGCCTACAAGCAACTGAAGCATCTTCATAGTCCCAGTAGTCACTGCATATGGTAGTCCATACTTCACTAATACACACTTCAACTCTGCCATGTCTAACTCCACCACCATTCAATCTCATTGTGTCATTAGTACAAGGAGCTAAGTTATTAAGGTATGTATAATAATTTGATGTTGTAGCTCTTACTACTTACCTTCACACTTAACAGCAGCATCATATTGATGA